CAGGAAAAAATAATGACGTTGGACACCAAATGTACCTGCAATTATAGAATCACTCACATGTATAAACAGCCAAAAACGTCTACGTTTCATTTTATATCTCACCAGTGGACACCAACTAATAATCAGAAGCTCTGATACAAAGGAATATGGTTTGGTGAATTACAAAATGATACATATACCACACAACATATAATGCAATAAGTAATAATAAATTAAAGGCTTTACAAAATGAGGAATATGTCCAAAGTTGTTTTTGCCATGCTAAAATAGACAAGGATCTTCTCTGAAGTCTTTCCACAAAGTGTGTCCCTTCAGTGGAAGCAGGGAAAACAGCCACAGACCTTTTTTCCACCTTGACCAACTTTATAGTTGTTTGTTATATAAAATTGGTCAAGTAGCTTTATACTGCCATCCCCCAAAGTCATCCATGAGAGAGGATGATGGTAAACCGTGATCCGTTATTCCAGAGTTCAGTGGTGTTGAGCTTCATCCAGCACATACTTGGCATTACCTCAGTTATCTGGTGTGACTGCAGCACACACCCATGGAAACCCATTGTATGAAGCTTCCAGTGAATACTTCTTGTTCTGATTTGCCTTTACTGGGGCAGTTTTGAACTTCAGTTCTAAAAGCAGGATCTGGTAATGCGTCAAGAGTGGCATGCCTCAGCACTCCTTTTCTTTGGACTTGTGTGGCCCACTTCCTGGCTCAGCTGTGCTTAGCTTAAAAGGATGTATTCAAATTTGTGACTGATACTACAGAAAAAAGACACAGAAGTCACAAGAAGTTTCACTTTTAAGAGTTTTTAATGGTTGAATCAGGCTCTGCTGTACCAGAACATCTGGCTTTAGTTGCATCAGTCTCTCTCAAGCTCTGCTCTGAGTCTGTACACATTTCTTAATATTTATTTATTTTAAATAAATAAATACCTTGTGAAAAATGCGATCTGAAAGGGTAAAGATCCTATCCCAATCAGCTTGTGGGGGAAGCTGTAATAATGAAACGCGCAGGAAACCAGAATATGTTGTGTCTATTTATTGCAACACTGCACAGAAAACAAACTCAGTCGCTAAAAAATACTTTTTTAAATGTACGTTTTAATAAGCGAAAATATTGTAAAATAGTTCCCCTATAATAGTCCCTATAATTTTTTTTCTGTGCGTGTTCTGTTTTTGTACCTGACATGTAGCCTAAACACTAAACAAAATGCTTTATGCAAAATCCAGAGATGTATGCGGTTTCCTTAAGCCACACGCACCACAAGAAAGAATGGAACTTTCCAGTAGAACAGCGAACTGAATACGTCACCTTATTTATGCCTGCCTGCTATGGTCAATTATATTTAATTAAATTAAATTATAGTTATTTTCCAGCTTTCTAAAATACAGATGATTACAGAGACTGCAGATAATGTAAAGCACTAGTATTAAAAGGGTTGACTGGATCTGTTTGTTCTTCTAGAATGACAGAAGTGTTCTATCCAGAGACAGCTTGTTTGTTTGTAGCTACCTTTAATAAAAAGGTTTTTGCTGCACCTCTTGTGTTGATGGTAGATTTGCACTCTAAAACATTTAAGGGAGTTGGTGGCTAGGCGTTGCTGCTTGATATCATTTTTGGTGATTCTGACATAAATGCAAAATTTGAAATATCCCAGGAATCCCTAACAAGAGTCTGGACATACCAAACTACCCCCTCATTTTAAGTAACTGAGTTTGTACAGAAGCAGTAACTCCATTGTGTTGACAGCTCTACAAAATAAAATCATTAAGTTTAAATACCACCTAATCCTGAAACATAATAGTGTACCAATGAAAAATTGTGTTCCTCTCTTGTTACAATACTTATCTGGATAAAAATGTCTTTCTATGGCTGTGACATTTTACACAGTTTAGTACAGTTTAGTTCACACTTTATGGTTGTAATATTTTTGCATAACATTTGGCTCCAAAAGTACACTCTAAAAAAAGATTGTTGTTTAAAGGTTCTTTACATGAAGTTTCAGTTCTATTTAGAACCATATCATCCTGAAAACTCTTTTATGCTAAAATGGTTCTTTTGTGTTAGAGTATAGAGGTCTTTATTCCCGCCTTTTGGTTTTTCAAATCTATAACTGTCAAAGTACCTCATTACTGATTTTCTGGAGCTCAACCATCAATTACGCAAACTGTCAACACACTCTCAACAGGTATATGATTCAGTTCCTAAAATGTATACACGTTAACGTTTTTGTTTTAATTCTTTATGTTTAATTTGTAGAAGAACACGTAAGTGCAACCAGCTTTGTTCAATTGAGGTTATACTTCACTGCTCTTCTCGGACCGAATGCAATAATTTGACTCATTTTCTGGTCCTGAACTAACTGAAACATTCCTATATATAGTTTGAATTTCAGAATATACACCATATTGATATTTCAGTTTTTCTTTTTTAATAAATCTGCAAAAATGTCAACAATTCTGTGTTTTTCTGTCAATATGGGGTGCTGTGTGTACATTAATGAGGAAAAAAAAATAACTGAAATGATTTTAGCAAATGGCTGCAATATCACAAAGAGTGAAAAATTTAAGGGGGTCTGAATACTTTCCGTACCCACTGTATATATATATAAAGATCACATTAATTATTTATTGCTATCAGGATGTGAAGAGACTTTCAACCGGTAAAACAAAAAATATATCTGTAAAAAAAACTAATTTGCCTACCTTACCTTTAAATGGTTTTGTTCATATTTGAAGGACAGAAGTTTCTGAGGTTCCTCAAGAATTCTTGGATGGATTATTGTAATTCCCTGTATTTGGGGCTTCTGATGACGTTGTTGTATCATCTTCAGCTATTATAAAAAATGCAGCAACTAGGCTTCTGACTGGGATTATAAAACAGGTTAGTGTTTTTCCAGTGCAGGCCTCTTTGGCCTCAGTTTGTTATAGGGTGCAGTTTAAGGTTTTCTTATAAGATTCTGAATGGCCTACCCCTCAATATATTTCAGACCTTCTTTAGATTTATCAGACATCAAGGCTGCTTAGGTCATCCTGAAGATTGTTGCTAACTGTCCCTAAATTTTGCCTCGAGCCTAAAGGAGATCGCGCCTTCTTTGTTGCTGCTCCTCGTTTTTGGATGAATCTGCCTCTTGAGATTAGAAGTTGTACACTTGGTCTTTTAAAGTCTTTAGACACACTTACTTGCTCTTGCATATGCTATATGGTTTGTTGAATTGTTTGATGTATTTAATTTGATGTTTGTTTAGTTTACTGATGCATGGTGCCAGGTTTGCCATGCAAGGACCTTAGGAAAAAAATGGGAAAGAGAGAGATATAAAGATAGATTGATTGATGTCTATTTCAAATTAACCATATATTTGTACTACAGAAATTTTATCGCAAGAAACATATATTAATAATGTTTAATTTTATTATAGTAGATGCTTTACCAGTGCCTGGTTCTTTTTTAGACAGCTCTTAAAAGTGTGAAATGGACATATTTTTTCCCTGCCTGTGACGCCATAGATCAGGATAGTTGCTAAGGTTTTGGGACAGAGTGTGTTCTTTTGCAGTCAACCGCAAATCTATATTGTCATGCCATCATTTCCCTGTGGCTTTAGAGTGAATAGTCACATGCCATTTATGGTTCAGGTGTCTGTCCCTAAAAACTCAGCAAATTACATATGTTTTTAGTATAATAATATAATATAATGATTTGAGCTGTTCAGATTTCAGTGTAGATTTTTGTATATGGTAAACACATGATATAAGAATATGTTCAGTACTATGTTTTGACACATCTATGATTTGGGACATTTTTTATTTAATCAGGAAATAAAACTTCCAAAAAAAAAAAATCTTTTACATGGTAAGATTCATATTTACACAGATATTCTTAGCTAATTCTATTTTAGCAAAATGAACTACAATGTGTATAAACCATATGATCCAATCCAGTCCTAAATCTAAATGTCAGAAACTGTGATTCAGCCTTTTTCTTTGAAAGCACATACAGGATGAAGAAACAAACATAGGCTACACAAGTTTAAAGTGTGTTTGTGATCAGGAAGTGGGCTTGAAACGGTGCCCATAATTGGAGTCAGCATACCAGCAGTATGCAATTTGTATCTGTCCTAAATCACATTGTTAGACACTGACAAGCAAATGTTAAGAATGTGCTGAGTCCTTTATCCTCCTTCCCTGCGTCCCTCTTTCTGTTCATGTTCATTGAGTCATCCATACACTCTCTCTATCCAGCATGCTCACAGTCAGGGGCGTAAATGTCATCTAACAGTTGTGGGGGACAATAAACATAAAATTTCTCAAGAGCAGTTTTTGAAGGGGACACAAATAATACAGCTAAAATTGTACTTGAAAGGATATGTATACACAAGGAAAGCCTAACTACTATTAGTGCAGCAGGGAGACCGTGCCAAATAGACAGCGCTCATGTCCGTTGTAGACGTTACTATCGGTTGCTGCGGTTTCCCCGTGGAATTGGACTACTTTAACACTGTTGCCGCGGGTTGTTTTTCGTGTCCGTGGGTTGAAGCGACCCCAATAACGTGTATCTTAGCCTCCGGAATGGAATTTTTACCAGGGGACCCCCTCGAAACGCGGTTGATTTGGGCTAATTTTGAGTAGCAATTGGGGTTTTGTTGTGAAAACCTGGCAACCCTTTCTGTCAAGCAGGTAGGACTCATCGAAAAATACATTTGCATCATCTGTATTAAAGAGAAAATAATCACTTCATGTGATGTTTAAGTGAATAAAATAGCCTTCACAGCCTTACTTACTGGAGATCACACTGGACTCGTGTGTGTGTGTAGGTGATGAAAAAGAGGAAAGCAGGCATTTGGACCAAAGCACTGTGAGGTAAGGGAGGGGGAAACTCAAAATGTCTCTAAACATAAAACGCATTTCTGCCCCGTTTGTGTTGTTTTGCTACTTACACAATTATTTCAAGTATAAAACATTGTTATTTACAATACACAGACTGGTTTTTAATCATATTTTTAGGGGGGGGCAACCCTCAGATGGGGGGGATCCTCTCTCCCCCGACCCCCCCGGTATTTCCACCTATGCTCACAGTGGTCCACAGTCATTCATTTAATCCCACCATTCATATTAAGATGAAGTAAAAGGACATTTTTTGGCCACACACACACACACACGTTACAGTACTCCCTCAGTCTCAGTCCGTGCGGTGGATTTCCGCCATGTTTTGTGTCTCCACAGCAGCAGAGCCAGAATCAGCAGCAGTATGAGTCCCACCACACCCCCAATAATGCCCAGCTTCAGCGCAAGTCCAGAGTTGAAATTTTGGGGTTCAAATGTGGCACACGACTGGTCATCCTCTCCACTGACGCCGGCTTTATTTACAGCTTCTACACATACTTGCGCTCCAGCCTCAACATCCTCCAATGCTGCCGTCCTCTTGCTTTCCTCCACCTGTATCTTCCTATCCATCACTTTGCCATTCCCTCTCACCCAGACAATGTAGTGGGTGACAGTGGAGGTGGGAGCACACCAGTGCACCACAACCCCTTTGCCATCCTGTTGAAACAGATACAAGAGGCGCGGTGGACTCGGGGGAGTGAAACTATCGCTCAACCCCGGGCAGCGGCAGCCTGTGACTTTTGCAAGCTCCCGGCAGGTTTGCTGATGCTCCACACACAGGTCATAGTTGCATTTGGTATCTGGGCCTTCAGAGTTAGTGGTGGATGAGCCTGGAGACTCAGTGGTGAAGTCCTCATAGTAATCATTCTCTCTGGGAGGGTATAAATGGGTACGAGTGGCATTCTGAGATGATGATGATGCTGATGACACAAAGGAGAGGTCCAGAAATTTGATGAGGAGGAGAAGGATGACGGGACGTCCACACCCCAACATGACTCCTGCTAAAAAAATACAAAAGCAAAAGAAGTCAGTCACTTGCATCACAGTTATGAATGGAGCTTCAGATCAGAGAAGTCAACTCATTCCTTGGGTGGATGAAATACATCAATCATTCAACTGATTTCATTAACAGTTCTTGACTTATGAACAACAGTTCATGAATGTACAGTAAAATATTTTCTGATTGCATCAGATTTTATCAATGCACTAAATGCTTTTTTATGGAATACAATGTAGCTTCAGCTACTGATTTCATTAAATTGTATTAGCCATTCTTGACTTATGGGTGTACAGTAAAATATATATATATTTTAGCTCAATAAAATTTAGCTTAATGTTTACACAGATATGAAATAAAAATGTTAAAGATTGAAACACTGTATTTCAAAATTATTAGCCAATTTCTAAATTCCCATTACATTGATATTTATGCACTTGGCACACATTTTAATCCAAATCAAATCTAATTTTTTATTTACAACGTTCTGTCGGGCAACATAAAAACTACTTCATGTGGTAACATCTAAATGAAGTAAAAAATTAAAGTGAAAAATATGATTTAATATCACTGAATCAACCTTATTGCATGTAGGTTACTCTAACAAAATTCATTTTTAAGATTCAAATCCAGCAGAAATAACTCCTCAGTGTAACAATTGCCGGTTACTTGTTACAGTGCTTTGTGTGTCTATATTAGTGTTTTAGGTCAAGGTCTTTGTTCTATCAGCAAAGATTGTACTTTAAATGACCCTGTTACAGATACTGACAGTTTGAATCATTGATAGTGACTGACTACAAATGTCAACCTGACTATATTAGGCTGCATCAAGTACTTTTAGAGATCAAGCAGAATTTCCAGAATTGAAAAAAACTGAAAGAATAATCACCACTGAACTGGCTAAGGAATCAATGATAAGTAACCAACCAGTGGAGTTTCAGAACCTGCTTCATATTTCTCAAGTGGCATTCTAGAGCTTCAGTGCAGATTATCTCCAGAAAACAATTTACATTTAGCAGAGTGAATACAAACAATCCAGTCGTCCAAATCACTCTATTGCAAAACACACCAGTTAGCAAACGTCTACACATATGTGCGTGAGTGTGTGTGTGTACCATGCAGTGCCAGTCGCCCTTGGTTAAAATATCGATTAACATTCTTTGGCATGGATAAACTTCAGAGGTAAGAGTTTTGGAGAGAAAAACACCAGAGAGCAACGTGATAAAGGAATGCAGGGTATTGGTTTTCAGGGTATTTTGATAAGTAAGTAAAAGGCTTTTGTGTTGAGCCTGTCTGTTTTTTTGTTACAAAACTAAAGTTGTAAAGTTAGCGTATTGAATAAAGAACTAAAACAAAAAAAGTGAATAAAAGTGAAAAACTCTAAATTCTTACCTATTTAATCGATAGTCCAGGAAGTATTATCTAACAATCTTAAAATCTGACAATTTTTTCTGGTATCCTCTTTCCTTTGCTCTCATTCCCTTGCAACAGCAACACTCTCTAACTCCCCAACAATCACCTCCTTTTTCTTCCTAACCCCATCCCCCTCTCTCCCTCTTTCTCTCATCGCTCCACCTTTTCTCATTTAATAGGCTTTCTGGCCAAGAGAATGTGTGTGGAATATGTGCACATGCCTCTAATGAATCACAGCGATTGCCAGCTACATGAGCAGGTCAGAAACCTGACGTGACACACACATGCACACACTCATTCAGAGCTTCTGAGTTCATGTTGAGCAACTGACTTCCATTAATGCAAAGAGATAGTATTTCATACACAACTGCACTTCAATCTATCTGCTGGAAACACATTCTTATGGTACTACAGCAGCACAAAACATGTTTTTGGTAAACATCCACTTACACTGAACACAGCACAGTCGTAGTCTTCCTGTGGCATGCAGGTAAGATAGCGAACAAGAGGGTTTTTATTTCATTTGAGATTTGGAGACTGCTTGTCAGCATATGATTCGCGCTTCAGTGAAAAGCTTCACATGATATTCATTCAAATGAAAATCTCAGTTTATATTAACTAGAATTGTGGATTTGCTGTTCCACTGAAAAGCTTTACTATATCCCGGAAACAGGTGTGTGTTTGTGTGTGCGTGTGTGTATGACAAAGATTGGTTTTAGCGCAGCTGCTCTGACCGCAGAGGAAAGTCTGTTTTTTTTCATACTATGAATGACAGAAAGAGTCAAAGTTCACACCATTCATAAATTTACGCACAATCACACACTTCCGTGCACCCACCTTAACACTTACACACGTATGAACACTTAGAAACACTGTCATACAGCACTGTGGTCAAGGTTATTTCGCCATAATATACTTTTTGTGTTGAGTCATAGTCTCAATTGTGAAAAAGGTTCAGCAGACAGACTGACTTCAGACAGACAGCCCTTAAAATACAGATGACACACATCCATTTCTATGTCATTATACGACAATAGTGCTATTAACAGATCATCTGCTGTCAGGAGCTTTGTGTAGCTCCAGAGGAAGAGTGTTTTAGAAACACCGGACAGATGATACATTGACACACACAATCCCCAGTGGAGTTTTGAGGTATTAAATGTAATGACATATTTACATTACAAATCGATTAGTATTCTTTTAGGGCGGATTTTCCTCTTTTTCAAGGGTCAAACTACAGTTAGGAAATGGAGAGATCTCTTCTGTCATCTATGACTAATCTTGATCACAGGATGCAAGCCTCTTACAAGTATGAACTTGAAGTACATTTAAAAACATTTGATGGTGCAACAGTGTTTTGTTACAAAGCCTACTGATGTAGGAGAATCAGGGGGGCTATATAGAGGTCTCAACTCAATCTCTAAATTCCTCCTTGACTTAGTTATAAAATTAAAGGAATGCTGAAGCTCCCTCAGAACTACAATGTGTAAACCGAGTATCAAGGATCCCTGCAGTCAAGCATGTCCTATTCTTCTCTAAACCTTGGTCAGGTAAAAAAAACAAAACTAGCCAGGTCCACACATGCACAACAAGACAAACAACCACAGCATAACCAATTCTGATCCCTACTCAGCTCGGAAAAATAATATAAAATACAAAGTCTCATTCCATTTTTGTACATGAAAGTGCTGTTGATGGCATTCACAGATCAGTCTTCATAACATTTACATTTACATTTTATCCAAAGCGACTTACAAATGAGGACAATAAAAGCAGTCAAATCTAACAAAAGAGCAACAATATATAAGTGCAAATGACAAGTCTCGGTTAGCCTAACGCAGTACACGTAGC